AAATCGTCCTCTTCAATAGCAACCCCTCCAGAAAGGTCAAGCCGAGGAACATTGTGGATTGCTATACTCTTCTTGTTGCGTAAAATATGCTCATTTATACCACCCATCATGTTTGAGGGTGACACAACATTGTCGTCGATATCTTCATCTTCTTCAATTATGAAGTCCGGATCATCAATGTTATCATCCATCTCATTTAGGAGATCATCATTGCAAGGATCATCACCTTCATCATCACCTTCATCATCAACTTCATCATCACCTCCATCATCAAATTCATCATCAACTTCATCATCATGACCTTCACCATCACCTTCATCATTCCCAGTTGAATACCCATTGAACCCGCTATCCACACACCAATCGACATGTTCGGGAGAATGTCGTGAGGCACCGGGTTGATTTGATTCTACCCTTTTAGAGGTGTCAGGCACCATGTTGTCATTGTTCCCCGGATTATATGTTGATGGTTGACTCATTATAGGTGGATACACAGCACCATATGGATAGAGAGGTGGGCCCTGAGCAGCAAATAAATTCATAAACCCACCTGGATAGCCATACGAAGGATACATTGGTACACTCGCCTGAGTATACGGACTTGGAGTATGTTTCGGCTGTAATGTGACATAGATGGTAGGTATTGTGAACATGGCAGACACATTTCGCATATCTGATTCACAAGAGATACGCCATTTCTCTACCTCTCCGTTATCACCGACCACTAAAAAGTGACATCGATAGTCGCACATGTTTCTATCTCCACGAACAATGTCATGAACCCTATTCATGAAAGCTTCGTATGATGACGTCCTAAGACATAAAAAATTCATTTCCGTTTCTCCATTTTTGTACACATTCCCATCCCAAAAACCACTGTGAACAATTTGCACTTTACCAACGTCCATCTGAAAAAATTAAATAAATAAAAAAAATCTTAATAAAAAATTCATAAACAGTTTCTTACGAACAAAGTTAATTGAGCAAAAAATATGTTACATCTTGTTCAAGAAACCGTTTGATGCTCAAGAAACTGGTTTCTTGTTCAAGAAACCTGTTTGATGCTCAAGAAACGGGTTTCTTGTCAAGAAACGGGTTTCTTGTCAAGAAACGGGTTTCTTGCTCAAGAAACTGCGTGTTGAACCAGACGAAAATCTTTCTTGTCCTTTCTTGTTCAATAAACTGTTTTTTGTTCAATAAATTGTTTATTCTTCAATAAGTGATTCTTCAACTCCTAAAACTACAAATAAACGGCTCAAGAAAATTTACAACAAAAGTCCTAAAACTCCTAATACACGATCCCTCCTTTTCAAGCACAAAAAATCGAATTTTTTAACTATAAATAAATATTATTTCAACAAAATAAAATGGTGCAACATGAATCAATAATGTTGGGAACAAAAATATAAAAAACTATTTCGAATTTTTTTTATTTAACATAATAAAAAAAATTAGGTTTCGGTCAATGTACTTTTTTTCTTCTCAAAAAGGGATTCACTTGATGTGTTGGAGATGATTTTTGTTCCAGATGATTCACTTACGTGAATTTTGGGAAGATGAGATTTTTTTTTTTTTTTTACAGAGATGCGAGCGAGAAAGAAAGAAGAGGAGAGAAGGAAGAGAGAAAGAAGAGAGAAGGAAGAGAGAAGAGAGGCTGCGGCGCGATCTTTTTCAGATTTTTTTTTTTAATATCTTTGATAGGTAAATAATAAGTAAGGGTAGAATTGTACTTTTAAGTGCTAAAATGGCTAGATTTCATTGTTTTACAAAAAGTGGCTATATTTCATTTTTTACTTCAAAAAATGGCTAAAAAACCGCCCAACTGTTTAAATACAATACACGTAATACACGGAAAAAATCATTTATGACATGGCAAATACTCGTATGATTATATAACTTAAATATTTATTAAAGCATAAGCCACGACAGATATTTATAATGGATATAGCATAACTAAATATTCACCGTGGACCGCACCGCTAAAAGATAAAAAAAATTAAAAAACTAAGCAATTCATGATAGAGGATTGAATAGCACCATGTATTTCACAAATAAAATATTCGGCTGATTTTTGTTTTAAAAAAAGGTGTCATTCATTTCTCTTTATAAGCGTATTCTTAAACTATGGTATGCATTTCACGTCTTAAAAATGGTCCATATAAACATTTTTTTTATATAGCACCCAGAAAACAACTCGGAATGTTGGTTTGATAGAGTAGCTCGACTTTGACCAAACGAGGAGAACTCTAATAAGATAATTAAAGAGAAAAGGTGCTCAGCCAAGTACCCCGGACATGGGTTTAAGGTGCCGAGCTTACAAAACCAACCCAACCTGGAGGTAGTGGCCTCCAGGAGCCCGATAAAGTAGCCGACCTTGATGCATATCAAGGTCGGGCGGTCTGGGGACAAGTTGGACCTAAAGATGAGGTGTGTGAGACCTCATGACAAGGTTAAGGACATCCTTAGAAGGGTCATAATAGAAAGGATGGGAGGTTGTGTTCACGACCTAAGAATCCCTGGGCTAAAACAGTAAATGAGGAAGAATCCAAGTAAGAAAAAAAGAATCACTCACTTAAAAACTCTTGCCAAGATAGAGACGTGGTAAGTTAGGGAAGTAGAATCTTGTGGATCTCTTTCCTAACAAGAACTCTCTTCGGTTTAGAGGTATACAATCCTATATAAGGACAACATGCTCTCTCGATTTACACAACACACAATTCCACGCTTATTCATTATATCTATATTCTCAGTTTGAGCAAGTTCTGACTTGAGCGTCGAAGAGCTTTCCGCTGGGACCCCTCTCCCGGCGTATTACAGGTTATCAGAAGCTCAAGGAAGAGAATTACTTCAAATGGAAGGTATTCAACTTGATCGTTACCAAAGGTGATGTATCAAATTGGTGTCATGTATGGGGAACTCAAGTCTCTTTACAGGTTATCGGTGGCTAGCACTTTTCTCACAACCATTTGCATCAAAGAGATCAAAACCATGACAAACGATACCTCCAAAAAGAACCTTGTAGAAGAGATGAACGCAACATGGCCAAAAAGACCAATGGGATCTGGCCCTCTGCCAAGTTGGTTGCGATCTACCATTTCGTATGTCATACCACGCAAAACACTGCCAGCTCTAGGGACCTCTGTTACGCCAACATCAGATCTTCCAGGAGGATCAACCGACAGAGGGTTGGTGGACCAGCAGAAGAAAGAATATCAAAGAGAAGTTGTCCGCACTTTGACAGAAGATGAACAACAAAATGTTGAGGTACTGGCAGACTAAGCGAAAAAGGAAGTCGAAGGATAGAGAATCATACTCAAACTTCATGAGGACCCCCAAAAAACAGATCATCAAGCTCACCTGCAAAAAACTAAGTCAAATCATAGCCGAAGTAGTGGCCCGAGCTCAAGATCCCAAACAGCCAGCCCATACCGCTCTACAAAAGAAAGTCGAGAAAAACAAAGGACGAACCGACCTGGTGAGAGTGGTCCTTCTGAAGACGTCTCAGGAGGAAGCATTGAAGCACCCGCAATAGAACTGCAGGTTAAAGTTAAGAGAAAGATGGCTCCACAATTCATTGTCACCCTTTTTTCAGAAAAAGTCCTTGAAGGAGACCTGCCTAGAAACTTTCGCGAGCTTAGCTTATCTTACGAGGGCTCAACGTACGATCGTTTGAAAATATTATGGTGTTGCATAAGTATGACGATGCTGCATAAGTATGGCGATGTTGTCAGCTGCAAAGCCTTTCCAACGACCCTTAAGGGACCTGCTCAAGACTGGTTTCACCACCTCCCTAAAGGATCAGTATTCTCGTACAAACAACTCAACTCGTAGTTCATTTAATATCTTAGTCCCCTGCATCGCACGATTACGTACTAGTTCATTTGTGTAATCTACCATTGGATTCTTCTTATTAAGATGATTGCATACACAAAATTTCAGCTCAATCATAATTCATTGCTCACTCACTATTTTGTTCAAAGTATATGCACTAACTCAACATTTGGCCTCCTCTAGCCCATGATTGGGCCATCTCCAACCCGTGATAAATTTAAGCAATCCGCCTTTATAACATGAAAAATGATATATAGCCAATTTAGTGTACAACTAGGTTGACAACACAAGTGGAAACATTCACTTGTGTATTTTTTTTATTTTTTTTTTATGGATGTTTTTTACTTGTGTTGTCAACCTAGTGTGAATATTTCCACTTGTGTTATCAACCTAGTTGTGACAATGTACCATTTCACATGCCAATATATGGTACATTTTTTATGAGAGGAGACTGAAGTAAAAAAATATAATTTCGTACCATTTTTGTTGAAAAAGTATGATGTATCGACCCATCTAATCACTTAGGCCTTCTCACATTAAAAATTGTATTTTTTTTTAAAAAAAATATCTATACTAAACGTTGATGTGATATATTATTTTACACTTTTTTTTACATTTTTATACTATTTCACTATAATATAAAAATAAAATTTACTAGAAAATTACTTTTTACTTTATACAATAATCATGGTTGTGGAAGATTTTAAAAAAATAAATGATTTTGATTAAACATTTTAAATTAAATTAATAATAACGTGCATCTAAAGGCTATCAGTGTATTGTTTAATAATCATATCAATATATTCGAATTAAATATTTGTTATAAATAATACTTAATGTTCAACTATTTATTATTTTAAATATTATTTTCATTATATATATATAATTTTTTATTTTATAGAATACAAATATTTATGCCAAATAGCTTATACACATTCATGTGCGTGGGCTATATTCGCGTGTATATATATGTTTCCTGAAAGCTAAAAAAATCCGAGAAATCCTCCGTCTCCCCTTTTTCTCCATCCTCGATCTCTCTCTCTCTCTCTTCTCTGTGGAGAGATTCCGGTGGCACCACGGCCAAACCAGAGAGAATCTAGGCTTCAATTCCATCTAAATCGCCACCGTCACTCAACTTATTAGTCGAATCGCTCGATCGGAATCTTTTTATGATGGATCAGGATCAGACTTCCGAACCCCTAACCCCGTCGGCTTCTGCCGGCTGCAAAAAGCTCAACGCCGGGGCTCCCGAGTTCGTACCACGCGGCTCTTCTTCGTCGGTTGCGCCTCCTCACCCTCCGCCGCTGCTGCAACCGGTGTACGCGAGGCCGCCGTCGTTCGTGGCGCCTCTGCCCCCGCCGCCGTCTTGCTATGCGTACGATGGATACTACCAGCAGGGCGTGGCGCCTTTGTACGGGTACAATGTGAGGCCGGCGGGTCCCGCCGAGTTCGTGGCTGATGTGAAAAAGGGTGGCCGCGCTGCAGCTAAAAATGGACTGTCGGATGCTCATCAGAAAATTGTCAATCAGGTGGGTTATCGTCCGTGCTAAATAGTCCTCTATTTTGAAATACTTCTGAGTTGCGTACGTGGGTTCAGTTCAATTATTGTAGTATTTGCAGCTTATCTGTGTTTTAAGTGTTTTTATGTTCTCTATCTGAAAAATATAGTTAGGTCGCTACTTCTTTCACAAAGATGTCTAGTTATCTGTTTATCCAATTTCTATAACCTTTTATGCATTACTGTTTAGTGTAAACTTTTCAGGTTGCTGAAATCATATTTTAGTTTAGAGCCAAATGCCAACTTCTTCAGGTTGCTGAAGTCTGGGTGATAATACACACGATGAGAATGGGTTTAATATATTCTTTTTCTTTTTTCACATTTCATCTATTTGGTGACTGATTATTGTGAATGAAATGCTTAAGTTTGCTTAACTTGTGGCTTATGTGTGGTTAACTGGTTATTGAATGGTAACTGTAGCATAGTGTTGCTCAGGACAGAAAATGGGATGATATCAGTTGTCATCCACAATCACTTGTAATTCCTTTAGTATACTCCTTTTCGAATTTTTGGAAGCCGTAATAACATATCCATTCTTTTCTGGACCAGTAACCAGTCTCCTCTAACTTATTGATTGTGTGATTATAAGTCACATGTTTTATTGGGATAGCTACGTCCTGGATTTTTATCTCAAGCTTTTATTCATTTTGTTTATAATTTCGTGTTCATGTTTGGCAGGTTGAGTTCTATTTCAGTGATATCAATCTTGCTACAACTGATCAGTTATTTAAGTCCATGATCAAAGATCCTGAAGGATATGGTGAGATGTCTTGAGGCGTTATTCTTCTATTGAACGTTCAGTCTTTAGTTAAAGCTTATTTTTTTTGGGATACCATTCAAGTAGGATAAGTTTTATGTAATCCTACTTGATTTAATTGCATATATTTGTGGGTTGAGACTATTTGTGTAACTGTAATGCATATATGAAGGGCATAAGCAGGCAGCAGTCGGATAAATACAGGTTCTGTTTTATTGGATCATTAAGTAAATACACCTTTTTGAAGTCTAACCTTAACTCTGTAACAATACCGTTTACAGGAATCATGAATCACTGAATAGACGCTCCCTCTTTTAGTCACTAAATTGAAGCAAAAACAACCAATTTTTGGTGGCAGCTTGAGGCTTGATTCTCCAAGTCTTTGATGAGCCTTAGTTATGAAACAAAACAATAGCTATTTGATTTAGATTTTTAATGACCTGGAGTTTCAAAGTCTTAGTTCATTATGAACTGGATGCTAGGTTTTAGGGTTATATGCCTGCTGATAAAAAATGTTCTGGCTTAGGGCCTCATAGCCTTAGTCCCTCAAATGCTGATGAAGCTTTTTCAGAATTTCATTTGCTGGAATAAAGAATATAAACAGCTTAGTGTTTTGCCTGAACTGTGTGATTTAATCAAACTTCTGACGAGCTTTTTCTTTTTTCCTTGTCACGTAATCGTGCGTTCAGTACTTGCTTCTCATTGTTGATTTACTGTGTCTTGATCGCATCTCCATCACCCTGTCATGCAGTGCCACTCACTGTTGTTGCATCTTTTAAGAAGATCAAATCTGCCATTGCTGATGTAGCACAGCTTGCTAGTATCCTTCGAAGCTCAAAGAAACTGGTAAATATGCACTCGATGGAAATTTTAAAGATTTTCAGTGATACTGTCTGTCTATGCAGTTGTCAACTCTGAATCATAATTTTTTATTTGCATCATGGTAAATGTTTTCGTCTCCAGTTAGTTAGTGAGGACAACAATAAGGTTCGACGCAAGCATCCATTGACTGAATCGGATATGGAAGAGCTGCAGGTAGGTCTTATTTTGGTTCTTTACCCTTCTGTTTTTGAGATGTTTCTCGTCCTACCTTGCATTGTAATACTCAACTTGGTTGTGACATTTAACATAGTTTGTTACTTTTCTCCTAAATTCCTTTCTTAATACAAATTTTTTCGTTCTCATAATATCATTCTTGGGCTTCTCTTTGTCTTTAGTCACGTATTGTTGTTGCTGAAAATTTACCTGAAGATCATTCTCATCACAACCTCATGAAGATTTTTTCGACTGTGGGAAGGTACATGATGGCTGGGGCTCCATTTTAGCAGAACTGTATATGTAACATATGTATTGGAATTATGATATTGTTCCTTCATGTTTTACTAATTTCTAAATTATTTGACCAGCGTGAAATCAATCCGTGCATGTCCACCTCAGAATCAGAATGGTTCTACATCTAAAATAGGAAAAGGGGATGGATTGCAATTTGGTGGCAAGGTATAATATTTACTGTTAGTATTTACCCTTGTCACCGATCTACTTCAACCTTTGAATGTTCTCACATGAAGAAATATTTCGATGTTAGAATTTTTTCAGTTCTGCAAGAAGCCATGGTTGCTTCCTTGTGGCTATTTCAGAATACTCAAAGTGGATCGTGTAGCGATGTGATTTATGGTTTGAGCAAGTTTGTCCGAGCAAATTAGACAACGTTGTATTATTTATGTATTAAGATGGCATAATTTTGTCTGGTGCTCACTGTTGTCTAATTACATATTCCTAACGTCTGAATTTGATATGTTCATGCAGTTTCATGTTTTTGTGGAGTATGACTCTGTTGAAGTAGCAGAAAAAGCGGTAGGTCATATTCATATCTTTATTTATCATTAAACCAACTTTATTCAAATGCCCCTCCAAATCATCAAAATCAGTCCTGGGTTAGGGTCACAGCTGGTATTTTGCTGGTTCTTTTGTAGGTAACTGAACTGAAAGATGAGGCCAGCTGGAGGAAGAGTCTAAAAGTTCGATTGCTGCTCAAACCTGCGGTATGTTCTACAACTCTAATTATTTCTGCAAACAATATTACCTGTAAAGAAGTAGTTACTTCAACTATTATTTCAAGTTAAAATAGTAATATTATTATACTTATGTAGATGGATATATATGTCTTTATGTATTGATAAGTAGAAAAAAAGGGAAAAATGCAGCTGCTACAAGATAGGTAGAAAAAAAAAGGGGGGAAATAATAAATTTATCTTGATAAGAGAAAATTTACAGGTAAAATCTACTCACACTCGCACAAAGAAAGTTGGCCATGAAGGTCAGAACTCTGGTAAGAAAGATGAAACAGCTGTACCAGAGATGCAGGGTTCCAAGGACATTCAGTCTGAGGATTTAGTACGACGGTCTGATGCAAAGAGTAATGAGATTCAGGTGAGTGCCAAAGATTTAAAGGACTCCAAAGTTTGCTATTAAAGTTTTTGTCTTTGGACGCTTTTTCATTCATGGACCTCTCTAATTGGATCTTCTAGAAAAATTTTAAACTAGGGGGTATTCTACAGCTAGTGACATGCTTAGTGGTTTCTGTTGTTGAAAATATACAGTTTCAATGGGAAACTGTGAATTTTGTACTACTACTGAGTAGCCCTGTCATTTTCTAAACCTTACATAATGATGCTCGGATTGTGGCCTACCAAAGCAAAGTAGTATACTTCTATAAACTTTCCTGTTTACTTCGGCTTGGGCTATAGTTGTAAATTTGATTTGTCATTCTTTTTTTTTTTTTAATTGCAAAATGGTAAAATGGCACGTGAAATGTTGTGATGACTTAAAATTCGTTCGTGAGACTTAGTAATTTAATATAAACCTTGCGAATCAGTTGCTTTTTTCAATTCTAAAGATTTGACTGAACTTGCTGGACCAGCCGAACGAAAATGCGAAAAGCAACGTTCAGAGGAAAGGGCGCAATAGCAGCAGTGGCGGCAACAAGGGCAAGGGAAGGGGCCATGGACGCGGGAGGCCCCACCTGAACCAGGCCAATGGTGGGAGTGTATTGGGATCCTCACATCTTGAAGCCTCTTCAGATAAGCTGATGAATGCAGGGAAAGCATCATCCCCCGTGCCTCGCATGCCTGATGGCACAAAGGGCTTCTCATTCGGTCGAGGAAAGTCGGTGACTGTATGAAAACTGCTAGAAAAAAAAAAATGAAATTCCGCCTTTTTTTCTAATATGAAAGCTTCGAGAGTCTCTTCTTTTAAACGAGCGTGCAAAGTAATGGTGAGAAAGTGACGTATTTGGCCCAGTGCTCTGTCCTCCACCGATTGGTTTAAGAAATTGCATCTTACAGTATTGCGGCTAAAGCGTGAAGGTTGGGTAGTGTGCTAATGTTCGTTGGGGCTATATATATCGGTGAGTATGTTTTGATTGAGTGCTGCTGAACCTCGGGAAAAACTACCGTCGTGATGTCGATGTTATGCTAATGTTGGGGGTCATTGTAGATAAGTAAACATCTTATCTGGATTTATATTATATCCATACAAAAAATGAACAGAGAGAGAGGGAGAGAGACGAGTTCTTTAATTGCCTCTCAAGGATTTATGAAGTAAATCGAAGTTGAGTATTGAAATTTATCTTCTTTCTGTTCACTTGCATTTCCTACGCATTGGTTCCCATTGGTCGCTTGTGGCTTTAATTATTATTCACCCCTGCTGCAATTTTATCATCTTTTACCATGAAGTTAATAGGTGTGGTAAATTTCACATCAGGTGCAATGTAAAATAAAATTGGGTAAATTTCACATCAAAAGGTCACAATAACTACCAAATTAATGCTATTTAACATATCAATCATGAAGTTCTACACCTGTCAAAGCTGGATTTAAATTCATAAAATGAAGATGAACATACAAATTACAATAGTGATTTTTCTCTCCAAAAGCCTATTCCCAAACAGAGAGCCGCCGGAAACTCTCGATTCGCAAAGATAACACGAGCGGAAGGAAAGAATGTTGAAATATGTCTTCAAGTTATTTTACCGATCGATTTGCAAAGATAACACGAGCGGAAGGAAAGAATGTTGAAATATGTCTTCAAGTTCTTTTACCGAGCGAAATTCATGAATGCATGAGCCTCTCCATAACCAGTTTGACCACTGCAGGAGCATCAACGGTAACTGCAACCTTTACTGTGGGTTTATCCGACCACTCGGTAACTTCCCCGAACCTTGTTATACAGTGAAAGACAAAAAATGTGAAAAGTGAGTCAACAGAAAAAGAAGGTGATGCCGACGAGATTGCATTAGCATATCTCGACACATATGATCGACTCCGGCCTTTAGTATGATTATTATTATTTATTTTATTATTATTTATGTTATGTTTATTATGTTGTGTTTGGGCTTTTATTATGTAGTAGTGGACTTCTTGTGTTGGGCTTTTAATTAATAGTGTAGGATTTTTATGTATTATTTAAAAGACAAGTCTGTATCTGGGAAGGCAGTTATCGAATTATCAGATTGAATCAAAAAAATAGAAACTGTTCTTTGTTTTCCCATCACTTGCTTCCTGCTACATCATTTGGTATCAGTTAACCGGGACGATTCACGATGCCGCCACGACGCCGAGATGCCGAAATTGACGATCGATTTCAACGTATGGATGATCGGTTGCAATTGTTGGATACTCGAGTTGCGGATCTATCTACCGGAATTGACGAAATTCGTCTTACACTGACTACTTTGGTGCGGGATCAGCATGTTAATCGGGATGTCGCTGGTGGCCGAGGTGGTCGCGGGGTTCAACGCGGTGGCCGTGGAGGTCGCGGTTTTGGTGGAGTGGCCCGACAACCGTTCCAACACCCTCAGTTCAGCGATAATGAAAGTGAAGCTACTTGGTCCGACATCAATCCATTTGCCGACGGACCAAGATGCTGACAACCGGCGACCAAGGGAGGACGGTTTTCGGGACCCTGTTGTGGACCATAACCGTCGCGCCCCAGACGGGTTTCAGCCCTTTGGCAACCCTGACAATCGGCGAGCGGACCACAGGCGAGACGCCCTAGGTCGCGAGTTTCCTCGATTTGCTGACCGCGAATTCCGACGAGGGACCGCCGGCGTTGACGACCGTTGCGGATGGTAGCCACATGGTCGGCGCGATGCCCTAGGTCGCGACGGTCTGCGAGGCGGCGATTGCGCGTTCCGGTGAGGGGCTGCCGACGGGGATGATGATCGAGGATGGCAGCAAAATGGTCGGCGTGGGGCTGCCAATTTTTATGATGAATTTGCCGACGACGCTTTGTACTGGAACGATGCTTTTGGAGAAGACGGTGACATTAATTTTCCTCCTGGGCATGATATTGGTAATGGCAGAGGTAAATTTACTTTTCCTTATTATGGGCCACATGCTGAGTTTGGTGGGCGTCATAATAACACCAACAGATTAATTAATCCTGCTCCTCCTTTCCAAACCCCATATGCTGAGTTTGTTGGGCCTGGGCATGAGGTTGACGGAGTTAATCGCTGGGAAAATTCTTTTCGAGTTGACATTCCGGATTTTGCCGGTGGATTAGATGCCAGTGAATTTATTGATTGGTTGACCACCGTCGAGGCTGCCCTCGATTTTAAAAGAGTACCCGACAACAGGCGAGTCGCACTTGTGGTCACTCGACTTCATGGACGTGCGGCTGCTTGGTGGTTACAGTTACAGGGTGTGCGGCATCGTCAGGGCAAACCAAAAATCACTTCGTGGCTAAAATTTCGTAAGTACCTAGAACGGAAATTTTTACCGTTTAATTTTGTCCGTACTTTATATCAGCGTTTGCAAAATCTTCGTCAAGGACAGCGTAGTGTGGATGACTATACTGAGGAGTTTTATAAACTCTTAGCCCGGGTTGATATTCGTGAAACTCAAAAACAATTGATTTCTCGTTATATTGGGGGATTGCGTGTCTCTATTCAGGATGTGTTGAATATGTTTACTCCGGCTTCCGTTTTTGAGGCACATCAGCGTGCATTATTGGTTGAGCAACAGCAGGCCCGAAAATTGGGCGCTTCTTTTGCACCGTCTGCAAAGGAGCCTTCAGGTACTTCGAGTACCGCGCCGTCTGCGGCGAAACCACCATTCGATGTGAGTGCTCCTTCGGACGGCCGTGTGGTTGGCCCCACGATGGGGAGTGGCAATCGACAGTCTAGTGGTCCGCGTTGTTTTACTTGTGGTGAGCTGGGGCATCGCCAGACACAATGCCCGAAGGCGAGAGGGTCCCGGCGTTGATTGTTGAGGAGCCCGACTCGACTGTTTACGATGGTCCTCCAATTTTCGATAAAGAGCCGAAGGTTCCAGAGGTGCATGTTTCGGGAGACGTGGGTCACGCGCTTGTCCTTCGTCGGTCTCATTTGTCCCCTCACATTACTTCCGAGGATGAGGTCCAACGACACCACCTTTTTGAATCCACCTGCACCATTGGCGACCGGGTGTGCCGTTTTGCCATTGATTCCGGCTCCTGCGAGAATGTGATTTCGAACGAAGCCGTGACGAAACTTGGATTGTTAAGTGAGCCGCATCCGAATCCGTACGCTCTTACGTGGATACAACATGATGATATTGTTCGTGTCACTCGACGTGTGTTGGTGTCTTTTTCTATCGGATCCTCTTATAAGGACATGACCTGGTGTGACGTCGTGCCTATGGATTCTTGGCATGTTTTATTAGGCCGACCTTGGCAATTTGATCGTTCGGTGGTACATGATGGACGCCTCAATACATGTAGCTTTTTATTTGAGGGCAGCCGTATAGTCTTGCATCCGTCGTTATCCAATTCTGATCCTTTACCATCGTCGTCTTCGGTTTTATTTGTTTCTTGCGCCGAGCAGTGTAGGGAGTTATCCGGCTCGGTGGACGGTCGCTCGATAATTTTTGATGTCGGTGAAATTGTCGAATGTGTTGCTAAAGACGCCGACGAGATTGCGGATTCGAGGGCGAATCCTCTCCACCCGGGAGAGAATGATGCCGACGAGATTGCATTAGCATATCTCGACACATATGATCGACTCCGGCCTTTAGTATGATTATTATTATTTATTTTATTATTATTTATGTTATGTTTATTATGTTGTGTTTGGGCTTTTATTATGTAGTAGTGGACTTCTTGTGTTGGGCTTTTAATTAATAGTGTAGGATTTTTATGTATTATTTAAAAGACAAGTCTGTATCTGGGAAGGCAGTTATCGAATTATCAGATTGAATCAGAAAAATAGAAATTGTTCTTCGTGTTCATGTTCTTTGTTCTTCCCATCACTTGCTTCCTGCTACATCAAAAGGTTATCAGAACAATTTATTACCAAAACAGGAAATTCAGTTCATGTGATTGTTGGGATAACTGTAGAAGCTTTATAGTTATACTTTGATTAATAAATATTCCCTCCAATACTGTAGAAGTCCCTTTCAGGGGTATATACTAACATCAAGTGTAATTTCTATTTGGAAAGGAATTGATATACAACCTAATAATATGAATATTATTCGGGCGAAAAAAAAAAAATATAACTTATCCACTTTAAATCGAGCATGCGCTTCATAAAAGTTGAAGAGAGAAAAAATTTTCAGATGCTAATAATCTTCTGAATAGTATTCACGTAAAAACGAATGTTACTTAAGAGGAACAAAAAGTACCTTTTCTGTTTGTTATAGAACAATGTTAGACCTCTCGTGATCCCAACTGTCTGAACACGAACAACACCTTCAACACAGGTTACGAGTGAAGGATCCACAGCAGCAAGTAGAGTCGTTGGGTCGTGAAGATAGACACCTGAATTAGATGAAGAGCACATACAGAATGAGATCGACAAGCACATGCAAATCTTGTTCCTGTCTAACTTTTTCTTGATAATAGAACAAACCTTTTGTGCTGTAGGCATCATGATGATAAGAGAAGTACACATCTAAAATTTTGCATATGTATTCGGCGAATTTTCCAGTCGATTCTGCCAATTTGCTTCGATTGGCGTCTGCAAAAGAACAAAAAGCAGGATACAATATTTTTCAGATTGAAGGAGGCGAAACTGAAATTTGTCCAATATAATCAACCATTCTGTGAACTGTGACTTTCTCTTGAACGTTCAGAGTTCAAAACTAATAAAGATGATGGATTAGTATTTAGAATTTGATTTTAATGGTGTAATCGCATCAAAGGATAGAAAAAGGAAATTCGGGGAAAAGAAATATTGAATTCACAAATAAAGGGCCGTGTCATCGATGTCAGTTCAAATAATTTTAGGAGGTTTTTTACTTGTATTATACTTCAATCTTCAATTCAAATTACCAGTTAAAACAACTTGATGGGTGACATTTATTCCTATGGCCAGAATATCAGCTCCACTTGTGAAAACAAGGTCTGCTGCATCAGGATCTCCAAAAATCTAGTCAAATAAATCGAACAGTATAAGATAACACAATAAAATGAAAATGAGAAAAAAAAAAAGAAAGAAAAAGAAAAGAGCAGAAAAAAATGGCATTCTGCACAGACAAAAATGGCAACATCATTTCACAACTCACATTTGCTTCAGCTGCCGGATTTACATTTCCATTTACTGAAAATGCACCACCAAGAAGAATAATTTGCCCAACATTCTTTACGAAAGAAGGATCCGACTGTATGGCCTGCATAAACGATTAAACCATAAGGAAATTGATCTACGAACCCACACATTTTTATCGTACTTTTTTGATGAGGGAACAGAGAGGCTTA